AGAGCCTTGGACATCTACCAGGAGGTTTTGGATCATGTAGGATTCTGGAAGATGCTGATCAGTACTTCAGCATGAGCTGAAGTGGAGAGAATGTGCCATTCAGTTTCTACACAATGGTGAATTTAAGATAATTCAAGAAGAAATCTATCTGGTATGTTTTCTGACATGCCGCGAACTTAATAATAAATAAATAATGAAGTTTCAAGATGTCTCTATTCACGAGGATATGGTATCTAGTAATAACAAGGCAGTAATCTTACAAACCCATTTTATTTGGTCATCTGATTACATGAAGTCAAGGTACCTCTCCAATGTTTTCTTTTACAATCTTCCCGGAGGTTTTGGATTTTTTTTTTTAAGATTATTCGAGGTGCAGTCCCTCCACCATTGCCTGATTTGGGCTTTTGCCCTGTGAAATAATTTCAGGTTAAAAATGTGTCTTTTTCCCTGCTGAGAGAAGGATTTTTGACAAATTCAGGAAGGTCTCACCAAGAATTTCAAGGAAGTTAGGGTTGACATGTAGATTTATTAATGGCAAGAATGTCAAGGAAAATAGGGTTAATATTTGTCCTCAAGTAGATTTTTTTCTTGAATAGTGACTTATATATTTCTCCTTGACCACCAGTAATGTACTGGGTGCATTCAATAGACTTGGGTATTTGAGCATGACTAGATACCTCGTAGGGCTGTGGGGAATTTTTAAATAACCAAATATTCGATCGATCATCGAATATGCAAATATTATTTTGTATATGGTTTGTTCATCAACAATCTGTTGATCAGTATGGCCAAATATTTGGATACATTCAATCGAATAGAAGGTTGAATATTCGAATGGTGAATTATTCAAACTGACTCAGCCCTAATACTTCGGCCCATTTGAAACTAGTTAATTATGTCAACCGGTTTGAATAGAACAATAGACAGTTGAGTGATGACTGCCTGTAGCAGAGTGTCAGTCTATTGAAACTTGCAAATGTTTGGTAGCAGTGTGTTATTTATCCTTTATCTTTTTTTTTTGGAGATGGGAAGATGGACAGGTGGCTTTTTGTTCTCTTTTCGTGTTTTGCCTTAAAAAAAATTTTTGGGGCGGGTTGTTTTAGTATAATGGCAATTATAATGACCTGATTTCCTAAAAGTAGAATTCATTGAGGTTAGCATTGAGGTTAGCTTTTGAGATTATTGGTATGAAGAGTTCAACTTACATTCGAAACAGTAGCAACAGTAGTGTCTTGGCTAAATGTACATTTTGGCATCCAAATACTTTTTATACCACGCTAAACATCACGTTTTCCTTTGCCAGTTGCGCAGGACTTATTACCAGGGTGTGTAAATATTCCCTATTTGATGACAGTGTTGACTTTCAGCTGAATCCTTGAGTGTTGGAAAGGAAAGCGCTTTATCCCCACATTTTTTCCTTCCGTCTGCAGAAGGCATCCCCACTGTCTCCCTTCCACCCAAAGGATGACGAGGAAATCTTTCCTCCCAAGTCCAAGCCCATGAAGGATTACTCCAGGGAACCCCTCACCGGCAAGGCCAAGGTAGGTGCCAACCGTGTCTCAAAAACTGACGAAAGTACTTTATTCCGCCCCTTAGATAGGTTTCACCGAAGGGCAGTAGATATGTTATTTGCTAGGCACATCATAATAAGGAATAAGGGTTTGTCCATTGTCACTTGGGTACGGCGTTGGTAAAGACCGAATGCTTTGAAAAATTATGAGTTTGGACTCACTAGTAGTATTTTCTGTAAAGTTGTGAAAATGATGAGGAAATAGATTTTCCCTTGGGTAGTTTTCGAGGTGGCAAGTACGAACCAAACGTTTGCTAAAGTGTGCTTTTTTGGTGGGGGGTGTCAGCTGACACCAGCTTCTCATGTGCAAAAACAAATAAACAAACAAACAAACAAACTGTATGCTTATTACTTTAAATATTATTTCATGCAAAATTATAAATTGAAAGTATAGTTTTCAAGGTAAAGTGACTGTCCGAGTGGGGCAGACAAATCAAGGCCAGCTGTTTGATGATAGTAAATAACCATTTTTTGGGGGGAGGGGAGCATGGTTTAAACTTTTTTCTCCAATCCCCTCCATCCTCTGATTTTGCTTGCTTATTGAATCAGAATTGGAGCTCAAGTACCAAACCTTTATTAGTAGCGTGTTTGGTGTCTAAATCACAATTCCAACTTTGATGTCCCAGTTGCGATGAATGTGACATTGGCTGAAGTTGAAAGATTCGAGAAGTCTCTGAAAGGAACATATTAAGGTTCAGGTTAACCCCTTGATGGCGCGAATTTCTTCCCGAAAGCCAACTCCACGAATTCCAACCTCGCTTGGCTACGAAGGTCACCTGCCAAACCGCAAATTCTCGGTTTGTGGCCCTGCGTGCTCTGCATGCTTTGAATTACACGGTGAAAAGGCTGATTGTTCGGTGGCATGCGGCTCTACTCACGCTTCCACATTCCCGTTGCCTCTTTTCAAAGTGGGGACTATTGTGAAGCTGGGGATTATAATGGTCTTTTCATTTCTGGGCTACACACAAAGGCCAACCACCATATATACAAGAGCGAAGGTCTGCCTTCTTTCACCTTGTTCGCTCGAGCGTGGGCCGAGAATAATAGCTGAAAGCGGGCTGAGGATCTCAATTTTTACGGTTCGTCTAGCTGCCTCCTGGCGCGAAGGGATTAACAGCTATTTAATGACCTTTGGCATCTTGCATGAACAGTTGGCCATTTCATCCAGGCATATTGCAAGCACTTTAACAATGTGCTCTTCAAAATCATGTTGGTGTTGTATATGTACATCATAACCTAAACTAGGCTCATTTTTGAGACGTCAAATGTGCGTACTAATAATGATGCATCATTCAGAGTTCGTATCAGAAGTTATGGATTTGTAACCAATGCTTTTGTTCCAGTTTGAATTATTAAGAAAAATGCATGTGAATTTTAAAATTTATATTGATAGTTTTTGAGGGGTTAAGATGGATATATTGCACGTATGTAATGTTATGTGTTGACAGAATCGTTAAAAATATGAAGGAATTTCTTATACAAATTAATCCCATTATTTGCATTCCAAAATAACCCAAACATACATATCAAGAAAAGGTTTTTGTATTAGGTTTGAACTATTTGTTAGAAGTCCTATAAATGCCACTTGTACCCCTTGTATGCCATTCCACTGCAAATAAAAGAGTTCCTAGTCATCAGTCCTTAAAGGTTATATTACCATTTTAGAAAGATAGATCTGGAAAGGATTCTTGATGGAGACATTTTTCAAAACCTCTTATGATTTGCTTAGGGATGAATCAAACACAACAAGCTGGCTTTGGAGATTATGAGATGTTAAACCCCAACAAGAAACCTGCAATTTGTTTTCACTTTGAAATGTTAGAAGATGGAGGGCCTGCTAATTAATCAATTAATTAAGTTGCTAATTAATGTTAAGCAAAATCTTTTTATAACAAGGCTTGCCAGAGGCTGTTTACTGCTGTAAAATAATGCACATGTAATTACATGAGACAGATTTTTATACTGTTTTATTCAGAAATCCTACTTTGGATTCAGCTTAATGCTAACATCCTTTTTGTATATTTCCGTTAGTGATAGTGACCTAGAGATCCAGGCGTAGTGATTTTCCCAATTTACTAGGTTTCGATTTTTTTCCCGTTCCAATTGCAATGTTTCCATTCTCAGCATTCAGGACTGTAGTCATAGTTTAGGGGATTGCAGAGAAGTTCTTCATATTTTTCCTGGAGGGTCAAGTATCATGCCTGAAAGCCCCCGAGTTTAAGCATATTGTATATTTGGGTCTGTAGCTTCGAATTCCATAAAACCCTACTAAAACCCCACAGCACATTAATACATGTATTTGAGAAGCACCAGAGATGCCTTTACTGTTTCTTTCCTCTTGCAACAGCTCAATTCAACACCAGACGACAGAGGGAAGCCTCCCCCTGAGCGGGAGACAGAGAAGTCCCCCAAGAAGAGAGGTCGGGCCCTCAAGGATTCAGGCAGTGACGGCACCCCAACAAAGACCAGCTACACCTCTCCCAAGAAAAGAGTGAGTAATGCTGACCTGGTTTTTTTATACTACACTGTGTCAGGGAAAATCGGAAATCGAACAGCATATGCACGGGATCATGATTTCTTTTAAATCTGCTTGGTTAACTAAATGTGCCCTCGAGGATGAAAATCTGCCGAGATCAGTCTTGCAGGAGTTCACAGTTTAAACAGTTTTCTTGGATTTATTAGAAACTGGAGGACTCCTTCGATTTCCTTGCAAAATTCTTTGTCATTGTAATGTTCTGAATTGAAAGATTTTTGGGGGTTGGGTTGGGGAATGGTCCAAATTTGCAGTGGATCATCAGAATTTTGATGTTGATGTAGCTCAGACAGACATTGCTTGGAATTATTATGAAAAGACTGAATTGGTTCTATGGGGAAGGGTCAAGTTTGGGAGGGGTCAACCCATCAAGATGAGACGTGTTGGGAAAATGTACCGTGGATATGGGTATAGCGGTGTGACAGCTCTTAGATGTCAGGTAAAGCTACTCGGATCACACAGCAGGGGGGTGTCAGCATATGTGATGTGGTGTGTCAAATGACACCAAAAATGTCAATTTTGTGTTATTGTAGTAAATTAATATTAAATCCCTTTTTACAGCTTTTAAGGATCTAAACAAAATGTTTAAAAAAAATAAAAGACAATGGCCTTTAAAGATTCAGTTAAATTAAAAAGTTGGTTATATTGCTGGAATTACAGTTGATAGAACTTTAATGCGAAGATTTACAGAACATTATAAATTTCATTGGAATCGCCGTTTTCCAAAACACTTTCCAAATGAATGAAAATCACCCCTGTGGCATTTTTCAGTTGTAACTCCATTCTAGCTTTGCCCTGTTTCTGCCTGGTTTTGGCACACCACATCACATGCGTATACACTGTATGTGTCTAAGGGGGACAGGCAAAAAAAGCAACGAAAAGAACAGAGTTTACGGTGATGGCTGTCTTTTATTCTCCTTGCCAGGGTCACGTTCAAATCTTGAAGTAGGTTTAGGTCTCTGCCAGTTGCTAAATATAGGCTCATGCTTGTAATAGATACAACTGTAGCTCTACATGGCCGTTTTCAACACAGCCCAAGTTGACAGTTTTGTGCAGTTAAATAGGAAGAGAATATGTGTATAGAATTTTTTGTCACGGGTCATTGTTGATACATGTTCAATGTGTTGGAGGGGCCCATTTACCCAAATAATAGAGAACTGAATGCTGTTATGGAAAATGCTGGGCAGATATTCACACACACTAGGTAGACAGCAGTCTGTATGCCAGTCACGGTCCAACAAATAAATTGTAGCACCCCACAGGAGGAATCACAGACACAAGGAGGCAGTGCTTTACCATGTTCTTCAGTCCATGACATCATACCTAACGAGAGACCACTGATTAGATAAAATATGCAGTTTCCTCTCGATATTTTTTTTGAAAATCTTTTTTGTTGTGAATATTTCAAGTCTTCTTATTTCTAGTTTCTGTACATTTGAGTCTGTTTATTCATATTTTAAATGTTTTTTCCCTGTCTTTATCATTCCGCTCTTGCCTTTTCTGAATGATTTGTTTGTTTTATTTGTCTAGTTTTATCTTAAGGCATTTCTGCAAAAGGTTTTGTCTTCTGAATATGCCTCCATATTGTCCCTTTTTTCACATGTGTCTTATTTCATCAGTATTTGTGTATTTTATCCAAATCATTCGTGTGTCAGCCTGTATTATTCAACAAATATACTTTGCAATATGGAAATCAATATTGACTTAAATCTTAATCTAAAAATCTTTCAGGTATCTCTCTTAGATTCAAAGAAAAAATACATGCAAATTTTTTTCATCGTGCAAAGTGTAAACGAGGGCACTGCTCTCAAACTGGCATCACTTTGATATCTGTCATGTTCTCCTCTACAGCCTGCAGGTGGCACTTTGGGTTCCCCAAGCAGCAAGAAGCAGGCCAAGGGTAACGGGCTATCCTTCAACTCCCTCAGTCTCTACAACAGCTTTCAGGCACACCTGTCAGAGAAGACGGAAGACAAGAAGGAAGAAATCATCCCCACTGACAAAAAGTAAACCCCACTATTCCCCAAAACTAATAAGTATTTGTCTTTCTCCAAATTCATTCATTTACTTTACTCTCTGCTTGTCTGATTTCCCTCTCTCTGACTTTAACTTTTTTCCCATTTTGTGTTATCGACTTCTGTATGAAAACCTTGAGAACTCTAAAAAAGCAAAATGTTATAATGCTAATTAGTATTTCCATATTCATGAGCAAAAGTGTGATGTCATGTTGGAATGAAACCCTCAATGCTTTCAGTGAGTAAACTCTGGGTTAAAAATTTGAAAAGAAATGCATGCCCTGAACCACGTGCCCTGAATGACATCATAGCTACATTTGCCTCAGTTGCCTAAGAAAGCATGGGCAAATTGGAATGTTGAACAAAATTACACTTAATAGTACATTTAAAGGGATGCCATATAGTTTCCTACATGTACACTGAAGAAGGGCATAAACTAGCACAAAAGGTGTGTCTCTCCCTTTAAGCAGAGCTGTTCAGTTTTACAATAGATTTGAAATTTGATGACCGGACCCCATCACTAACCTTCATTCCTTTCTCAGCAGTCCCAAGAAGTCACTCTGAAAAAGGTCACCCTTACTGAGATGGCAAAAGTGACCAAATGCATTAAATGGCGCAATTAGAAACAAAGCTGTGAGCTGAAAATTTACTTTAAAAAGTTTTCTGTTATTGATAGCTCTGCCTTTCTGCTTTTCTCATGGTCCATCCAAATCATCCCTTTGACTTAACGCTCGCAACAAGAAATGTTAGGATGGAGCCCTCATTTTGGACAAACGTCAGGCCAGTTCATTGTCTATTCCAGTGTGATTTATTTACCTATCTTTTTTTCACACAGGATTGGTTTTATCGGTCTGGGCCTGATGGGAACCGGCATGGCCATGAATCTCATTAAAACCGGTCACAAGGTCACTGTCTGGAATAGAACTGCAGCCAAGGTCAGTCTGTTTGTTCTCATTGCAAGTTCATTTATTGATTAATCAGGCACAACTGTGAAAAGTTCATTCCTTTTTTCTGTTTACATGTACAGTAGCATAAATAATCTTGAATAAATCTGCAGGTCAGGGAACTTAGCTAATTTAGCGGTCGGTGTTTCTACCACTACTGTGTCTTTCTTCCTCAGCTGGGTATGCTGGTTTTTGGAATATTCAAAGGTACATATCTGAGTGATATAATTCTTTTTTGTACACATTTTATAAAGATTGCACACTGCATTTTGATAAATTATTATTTCAAATATGAAATTAACTTTGACAAAATATACAGTCTTTTCTATTAAAATCTTTGGAAACAATTTTGAAAACTGTACAAAAGACCAAGAGAATCACATAAGAAATGTGCCTTGACGGGAGAAATTCTGAACCAGAAAAAAAAATTTTCCTCAAGAAACTTCATTCTCTGAATCATCAGGTGACTTTGCAATTACCTAGCTCACTTATTTTGCCTTAAGCAGCTTCAGTGTTCTTTTTCAACTCAACAAAATTATCTGTAAATAATGAGCATGAAAGATTCTTGTATGTTGGATTTACCCCTTTTTAAATTTAGTAATAAAAGTCAAAGTAAATTTTGAGCATTTCCTTGAGTCTTGTGTAAAAGACTACAAAAACTGCTGACTGAGGGAGCATGTAAGTTTACCAAGGCTGCAGTTGATACACAAATGTAACATTTATTAAAGGCGTGCTATTTGGCAATCATGACTGGAGACACAGTTTCCGGCTTGAATAACACCACTATGCCAAAAGATCTTTCTCTTTCGATTGGGTACAGATCTGTGCATTTGTGTAGCATAATGCGTTTTGGTTTTGAGCCAATAAAAAAAGGTCTGATGACTGGTACAGCCGGTGCTCAATGCAGTTGTACGTGCTGTGCATGGCACTGCAGGTGTTTTTTTTCCCTGCTCTTACCATTGGGGGTCTTTGCATAGTTTACCACATGCTGCATTGTATTATGCAGATCCTAGCTGGTGCTACCTCCGTGACAGTGTATCCATGATGGGAATGTGTAGATGGTGTCACCCTGTGTACAGTTGGAATGGCTTTTTATAAACTGGCAGAAACATTATTAAAGATACATCACAGTGACAGGATATGGTTTTCAAATGGCATAAGTGTATCAGTTGGTGTGGACTGGCGTCGGCTAGAGTGCACCATGCTAGGGCTGTGCCGAGTAACCGAATACTCGATTGATTTTTGAATATTCGTATATTATGTTTTGAATTTGAATACTCGAATGTAAACTCCATGAAAGGAAGGGAGAATTTTCTTTTGTTTTAAATGAGAAAAATGGCACTATGGAGGTTTGTTTCAAGCAGATTCAAATGAAAAGCGTCAGAAATCTTACAATGATTTAAAAAGTAAATTATTAATTAAAGGTTGAATATTCAAATAGTGAATTATTCCATTTGACTCAGCCCTACACCATGCTTAACTTCTTGACATATATAGATTTGGAAATTCAAGGAATCAATTTTCAGTAACATTGCAAATTCCTGCACAATTGGGCCATATTAATTTAGCCAACTTTGTAAAAAGGGGTTGAATGGAATAAGCAACATTGCTCACCCAGTTATTAAGCTTAGAACTTCCAATAAGAGGGGAAAAAAATTCTTGAATCACATATGCCTGCAAAAATTCATCACAGTCGAACGTGAACAGACACTTCTCTGGCTTTGCCTAATTTACTAATCAGAGAAGGGTGGATTGAGAGAAAATGCTTGGAATGAAAGAGCCTCCTGACAAGAGAGCCAGTGTCAGCTGAGGACAGAAGTTAGATGTAGACATGGTGTAGGGATTTTGGATTTTTTTTTTTAATTTTCTTTTTACAAGAGCACTTGTCTGATGAAACAACCTTACAGACATAGCAGCATTTTTTTTTCTGTTTTTCTTGAGGGGGTGCTTTGGTTTTTAAAATTATTTTCTCTTACTTGTGTCTGTGCAGTTGCTTCTCTCCATGAGCATTTGGGGTATTTCAGATCGCATGAGGGAGAGTTGTTCTAACATCTATTAATTGTGTAGGGATATTTGAATATGAAATTTCACTTGAAACTCAAATTTATCTCTTGTCACACAAAGGATGCTGGTCACGATAACATGTCCGGCCTTTGAAACCTATGTGTGAAGGTCAACATTGTCCGCTTACATGGACACCACTTCTGTGTTGATGCAATTTGCTGTGAAATTGCACCTACATGTACATGTAGGCTTAAATACATGTTACTGTTTAACAAGAAAGCAACATGCAGGCTTAAGGTCATAGTCATGCAGCTTTTAAGTACACAGATTTCCTGAGGAATGTTTCAGTTTGAATCATGGGCTCTGCATATTGAAGAGTTCTCACTTGAGTTAGGGGGTCATCCATTTCTGTCATCTTTTTCACATGTCCACAAACAATACTTGAGCTAAAGCGAGAAAAAGGACGATGGCTGACTATGCTTTTTCCAGTCTAGGAAAGCGTACACTGGCTGTTAACCCTTCTCCTACTAACTTCAATGTTTTGCACATGTGTAACTGACAAAAATGGATGGTCTTTTAGCTCAGCTTCTGATTTTGATGTTCCACTCAGCAGCTGCATGAATGTCTAACTTGTGCTTAAGGTCCTTCTTGCTAGCATTCTATAACTTCCTTTTCTGGTCTGTCTGGGTCAGTTTTATCTTCATGTGAGTGGCCATCCTCAAAGTTGTCTCCGCGAGAGGAGTCACCATCTCCCTCCTCTCGTTTGGGTAGATCATCAATCTCACTAACACGACCAGTTTGATTGTGTGGAGAGGAAGAGGCTGCATTGGTGCACTTGCCTCCCTCTTCGATCTCTGCTCCGTCCTGATTGATGATGCCTTCCCTGTCTTCACCCATGACCAGGATAAGGGAAATGTCGTTTTCTGGGTCGGGTCCCTGGCTTTCCTCGATGGGTGTGTCGTGAATGGACGGTGTGGGTGACCCTGTTACTCTGTAAGAGGAGTTGTTCACTTCGACAATGTTTGGTGGTGAATGGCGACGATGACGCCATCGCCTTGGCAACAGAGTTATGCCCCGCTGGCGGGTGATGTAGAGAGCCACCACAGCCAAGATCAGTATAAGGCATATGGAGAGAATAACGCCAAAAGCTATCATAACCAGTGCGGTCTCGCTATTACTCTTGGGATTATCTCGGGAAGTCGTCGGGCGGAAAGGTGTTGGCAGCTTGGAATCTGGGGAGTTACCGGTTGTGCTTGGAATTGGGTCAGTCTTTTGGTAAATGCACACCTCCTCAATAAAATTTCCCGGTGACTTCTCATACATGTACATGCCAAACCCAAACGCTGCCACACACACTTTATACTCGGTGTCAGGTTTGAGGTCTGTCAGCTTATACATTCTGCAGGTTCCATTCAGCCACTCCTGCCTCACAGCTGGATTGAGGTCCATTGGCTTCTCCACGTATTTGATTTTGAAATTCATCACATCCATGTCAATCCTCCACTGGATGTTGATGCAGTACCCTGTCACCTCATTCACTTTTAAGCTTAACCACTCACCCTCATGCCACTCACATGTATCTCCACCGTACCCTGTTGGACATTCACACCAGCCAGACATCCCTCTCTCGGGTTGGCAGGTGCCACCATTTAGACAAGGGTTGCTGGCACAGAACCCTCCATTCCTGGCATGCCTCTTCCCTCGCTTCTGGCAGTCTGTCATCCCTGAATTAATGACAGGATGGGCCTCCCTCCTATGTGCTTGGGGAAGGAGCACATTGTGCCTTCAAGGTTCAAAACTCGAAGATTCACTGTTGTCCTTACACTGTCTAATAGCTCAAGCTTGGTTTTTAAACTGCAGTCGCATCGTAAAGGATTTTGTGATAAGTCAACAAGTCGAAGTTGTAATAGCTGGTGAAATGTTCTGTCTGTAATGTTGCGAATCTTGTTGTCATGGAGATATAATTCCTCCAGGTGGGTCATTCTCAAAATGTCTTGTTCTGTGATATCTGTGATTTTGTTGCTGTGAAGAATGAGCGTCCTCGTTTCCGGTGGGACGTGTGGTATTGCCTCAAGCCTTGCCTTTCCACAATCGACCACATAGTCCTGATGACACTTGCACCCTCTTGGGCAGTCCTGGTTCACAGGTACAGATCTATGGGGGACAGGGTTGCTTGTAACACCGACCAAGTAGCCAATGATCATCAGAAGCAGGAGTTGTTGTGACATTGTCTTTTGGCCTCATTGTCAGGGTATCAGGCTCCTGAAGATCCCTGGATGGTCCACTGTTGTCAAACTTGTTGATTCATCTGAAGTAGGTGGAAAAGAACAGAGAAGGATTGAGTTAGCATCCATTGTCATTGTTAACCAAATTTACTCCTCATAGTGTGCATACATATTCATAGGTTCAGATCTTTTTGTTTTGCTTATTCAAAGTATAAATGTAAGCATACCACACAACCCCATACATTGAATAAGCCACTTTCGAGTTCAATTTGAATAAAATCTGGTACCCTGTGTTATCTGATTGCTTAGAAACATAATTCGAAATTCCCAGACTAAAGACACTGTTGCTATACCTCCTGATTCGGAGCACATTTTTGCATAGCGATCACCATCTCTGGAATGGACTGGTTCCTTTGAGCCGTTCTTATCCATTGAGATAAGTGTATTGTTGCAAGGCGTCTCTTAGGTAACTAAGGAAAAGCTTGGCCCGAATCATGATCTTTAGCAACAGTGGCTCTAGTATGGAGAATTCCAATTATGTTTACGTGAATTTAAAGAACTCTGTGTACCGGATTTTATTCAAATTTAACTCACAAAAGGCTTAAAAGTGCTGAAATCAGCACATTATTTGGGAAAAAATCGGAGAGGAAGCGTTTTTCCACAACAAGGATGTTTCAGCAGGCTGCCACACTGCGTGGACGCATTTGTTCAAGTGTATATTACAGAAAGCACCCCCACCTACCACCATCTGAAAATGTGCAA